TGATGAAACCTAATATTTTTTTATCATCATTGCACTTCATCAACAATGGGAATGGGGCGAAACAGTTGTAGCAGACGTGTGTGTGTGTGTGTGTGTGTGTGTGTGTGTGTGTGTGTGTGTGTGTGAATGGCCAAAAAGAAAATCACAAATGGTGTGTTAGTGGCCAGAAAGACAATTTAATGACCAAATAGCCACTGAAATTAACCATAAAATTATCAAAATTTATATTACAGTGTGTTCTTCTGTGTGCATCCTCATTAGCAGCAGGATGTACTAACCACAGTAGAGTGGTTTTTGTAGGCACACTTTCTACACCTTGTGCAAGGGGCTGCTGTTCCTGGAGGTGCGCCTTTTGCACCTTCTCCTCGTTTCGTTGGTGGGGTGTGGGTCACACCTGTTCAGACTACTGTATCTTGAGATCAATGGCAGAAGTGGCTGAGAATCAGGTACAAGGGTGTCTTGCAGTTGTTGAGGTCATGAGCATGTGCCCCCGCTCTTCCAGGATCACTCTTCATTTGAAGGTTGTAGAGCACTCCTCCACTTCAGTGAAGTTGTTTCCGGCGGGACAAAGACATCGTATCCCAAGACATCCAGGAGATTGGAGAAAAGAGCCAGCAGCCATCAGTTAGTTTTCCTTCAACAACTTGAGGTGCCAACATCCTCTCCAAGTTATCCAAGCTGTATTTGTGTCTATTGTAGTCCAGGATTGCTTCTTGCTTTCACACATCCTTTATTCCCCATCACTGACTGGTTCCTTGTGTGTTGCTGTCAAAAGAAGCGCATTCCTCCGTTGCTTTGGGATGTGGGATATCGCCGTGGTAGTTTTGGTGAAGCCAAAGACAGACAAGAAAATCTTCCTCTGTTGAAACTGGAGGAGCCTGGGAGGAAGCTCTGGGTTGTTTCCCCTGTGCCAGTTTTCATTTGAGGAGTGACCAAGGTGCCCGAAGGAAAGACGTTATCCTCGGAGCTCCTCCGTCAGTTGGAATCTGAACCCCTTTCCCTTTTTTACTTCCTGAGAACTTCCAGTGTTGTCATCCAACATGCTATGTATTGCTTTATTCTGGTTTAGGCTCACATCTCCACTTCATCTATAATCCTCCAATCCTCACACCTTTACCTCCCGTGCAGGTTTGTAAGGGTGCACAGCAGATAAAAGATCTCCTTTGTTATAAAAACAGTCAAAAGTAGACCTCAGGTTGCTAATGCAGGGAACTGCACACAGGGTGACATCTGGTTTGATACCAGTGGGTACTGGATTGTAGAGCAGTCTCTCTTCAGTGGTGGGACCCACATGGTTTTCCTTTCATCAGGGATCCACTCAGTCGCGACTCCTCGGTCTCAGAAAATGCTCCTATGTTCTTTTCCATCAGCTGCTCGGCCTCCACCTCCATGCCCCCAAACCCCAATCCTCCCCCAAAGAAGAGGATTCAGGCACTGGCTAGTACTCATCATCAGTGGTGATGCAGTCAGCCTCTTTGGAGATTGTCCCCATATCTTCTGGAGAGGAAGTTCCTTCATCTTGGGCAGATGTCTTTTCTTCAAGGGCAGAGCACTGCTTGCTGTCCTTGCTCTCTGACCAGATCATACAGACAGTGCTTGAAGCAGTGATGACTTTCTTGCCATATTGCCAGAATAAATGATCTGGAAGCTGTTAGGCTTACCTATAGTAGCACTGTCTGCACCTGCATGAACTCCAGGACACATTTACAAACAGTGTTTGTTGTTGTTTGTGCTGCAGCTGCAGCTTTGAACTCTGCAAAGTGTCCTGTAATTAGGTTGCTTTTTTTGTTTTTGTTTTTTTAGAGTTATTTTGGGTATGGCATCTTTTTATGAAAAATACAAGAGTAAACGTG